ATGACTTCAGGTTGTTGAGAGTTCATTCAAACGCCTTTACCTACTGGGCTATATTACTCTTATTGGGATATTTTCAGTGTCTTTACACATTTTAGTAAGTATTATCTGGAAGATTAATACTTGTGACAACAATCTGTCCCTTGTTTTTCATGACTAAAAAGCCTTATTCTGTGTCTCTCCATGAGATGCAAAGAGATTCAGTTAAGAGGCTTCTACAGTCAGGCAGAGAGACTTTGTGTGTGAGAAAAACACAAAAGAGTAATTCCTGTAGATCCCAGCCTGTGAGTGCATCAGTCCTAACATCTGGAAGCTAAAGTTCTGAGTCATTTTGGGTTGTATTTTTTGATGTACATTTTATTGAATTTTTATGTATTTCATAAAATATATCTTAATCATAGACTAACTCCCTTATTTCTACTCTCTTCCCCCATCCATACTCCTTGAAAAAACTTACCAAACTTCATGCATGCTGTCATATATATTAAAACCTGTCAAGTCAAACTTTTATACTAAGAAGTTCCTTGATGCAAGTTAATCCACTGGAGTCTAGTCAGCCTGTCTAGAGTCATTCCCTTTAAGGAGATCAACTATCCCTCATCCAGCAGTAATAACTTGGCAACAGTTCCTAAGCTAAGGTGGGGGCCAGGTGCCCATTCCCCCAGTTATATGCTGGGTTTCTGCCTGGTTGTGTTGGCATGGGTCTTCGGAATGCTGTTCATATCAGCATGTACCCTGGAAGACTCTTATTTTCTAGTGCTCATGCATCAACCCTGGCACTTACAATCTTTCCACTCATATTCCACAATGGTCCCTGAGTCATGGGTGACTTTGGTTTAATATAGGAGCCCTATCCAGAAACAAACACTTTGCAGGCTTTTATTCTCTAAACCTTGACCAATTGTGGCCTTCTGTATGCATGGCACTCTGTTGCATGGGGAGTGTTGAGAGATGCATTAGTATTCTCTATACCCTGTGTTCCACTATGTTCCCTGAGCCTTAGGTGTAGAGTTCAACTGAGGGTGTGTTATTTAGGACAGGGCATCTCACAGACTTGAATTCTCTGTGTGTGACCTCTTGTGGAAATCTATAATAGCCTCCATGTGCTGAGAAAAGGCCTCATTGATGAGTGGTGACTGGCACACTTGTCTGTAAATATAAGGATCCATATTTAGCTAGGCTCTCCTTGCTAGAGCCAAATGTGAGGTCCTCTTAGCCTGAGCAGGAGGAGCCTAAGTTAAGGTAAAGCAGAAATTTAAGTCAAGCTGGCTGTCAAAGGTATTAAAATCAAAAAGTGGCCCAAGGCGCATCCATTAGAAAAAAAGTTGTAATCAATGAGAAAAATATGAAGGTCAGCTGTACACTCAAGTGTGGAAAAGAGGAACTGTGCATGTGAGAATGCCAATGACACTTTGGGATGTGGTTTCTGGCATCTTAGGGTCTTGTGGATGTCAATATGGCTCCAGAGTTAATGGTGAACATTGAAAATGTAGAGTGTGCTCTTAGATTTGAGAGTGGTGAAACACAAAGACAGCTAATCCCATAATCTGCTCAGAAGGGACCATAACTCAGGCTAAGAACAGAAGAGTGATTTCCTTTACTTTAAAGAGTAAGCTCACACAGCCTGTTGAGGCCCTGCCATGGCTTATGAAACAGTATTGGCAGCTTCTAAGAAGAAATACCCTAAGGGTTTTATATAAACATAATCATGTACTCTTTATTTTCAGCTGAATTTCCTCAAGTACAAAAAGATTAAGTCACACACCTACTAAATACTGGTGCAATTTGACTGCTGATGTTCTGGTCTGAGGTCTAAACACTGTGACACACATTAGGTCATGAGGGTCAGAATATATCAGATACTTCAGGTCAGTCCCATGAGCAGATGCTTCATTCTGCAGAGGCAAGATGCCTGCTTTATTGATCACTTAATCTGCTTGACGGGTGTGAGTCAATCAGATGTAACTGGAGTATTCGTTATAGAGATGAAGTGTCAAAAACATTGAGTGGAGACAGACCAGGAGACCCTGAAAAATCTGTCAGGACCTCATCAGAGGAACAACTGGGAATTGATAGGACTTGGAATAACTAATCCCTAGTTCCATTCCAGAAGAATCTTTCAGTTCTCAAATATCAGACTTGAAAATACTGAAAATAACCAAAAATACAATGTTGATATACATGTATGAGAAACTTTGTGTCATAAGCTTTTAGGAAAGTACATTGTAATTACTTTATTCAGTTAAAATGTACATGCGTTGGGAAACCCTGCTGTTAGGGTTGTAGTTCTCCATGTCCTGGCAGCCCTAAGGGGCTCAGAGCCAAATGGAAGGACTCCCCTTTTTAGCAGGGGGCCTCCTGCTCTCTTTCTGGCTTACCTGGAAAGTGCCAGCAAGCACAGATGCCTGACCTTCTTTGGAACATGACCTTTGGCATAGTTACCTGGAGTAAAAACTACCCCACAGGTTTTTTTTATATGATAATCAGGCAGTGCCCAGTAGTTGGGACAATAGGAGCCTACTGCCACATGTAAATAAAGCATACTATGAGCACCTATCAGCTGAGACTTTGGCTGCTGCCTCCACACTATAATTTCTCTAGTTCTCCCACTGAATAAACGGAGCTGTTTCACTGAAACTGGAGCTGTATCACTGCTGTTTCACTGCACCGTGGGACCAGCCTCCCCAGAAGGGCTTTCTTCCGTCAGTGCTCACTGGCCATCCTGACTCCATTCACCGCTTCTGCTCCCCCTGCCCTCATGGACCG